AAACTACCATATAGACACACTTGAAACCCTACTTGTGACTTAGACTCGCATGCACTCTATCTGCATTATAAGTTGAGAAAAAACTTAGAAAACTGATGCAGTCAAAAGTGTAGATCCTTCCACCCGGGTAGCTTGACAAAATGTTGGCAGTTGGCAGTCCTTTTGGATTGCCAAATTTTGGCCGTCTTTTGGAGGCTGCCATTTTTTGCCTCTTTGCTTGCATAAGTTAGCCTTCTTTCTTAAGGAGGGCAATTTTTGGGAAGCAAAGAGGCCAAAAAGGCCTCCGAAAAGACGGCCAGAATTTGGCAATCAAAAAGGTCTGCCAACATATTGTCAAGCTAGGCGACCACGACGTAAACAGTGACCCCTTCCGGAACAACTAAACGCCACTTATCTGCGACAACGATTAAATTCGGTTCGGAGAGTGATGAACGCACAACAAAAGCGAGATGCATCCCCTCTCCCTACTCCCAGTTTATGTATACTACACACTCGCCCCCCATTCCCAACATTCATTTCCTCACATCCGAATGAGGGAATGGGCGTCATTTTGCATTATCTCGCCAATTACAGCAAACGGTCGTTATTATTACTTCACAGTCGCGAGTGAGACACGCGAAGTGCATTTGCATTCAGACGAGACCGAGACCTGTCGGTGCGTTTTGCTTTCTTTCCATCGCGTCGATCCGTGGTGGGGCGGGGCAGGGCGGGGCGGGGCGGGCGTCCGATTCAATGTCAATAGCAGCTCGGCCCCGGCCGGACCTTGCCGGCGGGTCGGGTCAGCCTAGCCTCGCTCGGGGCCCCCGCTGGCCGCCGGCCGCTCCAACACGAGACGCGACGCACGACTGCGCTCGCCGGTTGTCACACGAAGGATTACACCTTTTTTTTCTGCTTCTTTTTTTGCTCCCCCAAAATGTTTGATTTAGATTCCGCAAAATTGGTCGCGTAAATGACGCGCCAGGCCGGCCGTGACGGCGCCTCTGCTGATTGAGAGGGTGACTCGCGGGGCTGGCGCGTCCGAGCGAGACGGGCGGTGACGCGCCGGCCGGTCGAGGAACACCGAACGCCCGTACTTGCAGGCCAGTGCGAGCGAGAGGGGAGAGCCAAGTCCTCTCTTGCCTACACACTACCGACACTACTGAACAAAAAACCACGCAAAGAAAACAAAGACGACTCACTTGGCGTCCTGGGCCTTGGTGTCCGCCTTGGCGAAGTACACGAGCTGCACGGAGGGCACGCGCTGGATCAGCCCCTCGTCGTCGACCACCGAGCCGCCGAAGTAGACGGGGAAGGCGTGCGCGTCCCACGTGACCGGGTTGAACATGATGGGGAAGGTGAGCAGCAGCGTGCGGTTCTCCACCTCGTCGATGACGTGGTCCAGGTTGAGGATGTCGTTGACGAAGCAGTTGTCCTGCCAGCGCGCGCACACCTGCTCGTACTGGAAGTCCTCGCCGCCCGGCCAGTGCACCGTCGCGTTGCGGATGATGTCGTCCAGCATCCGCAACTCCTCCCAGATCTCGCGCCGCAGCATGTCGTCACCCTGGCGCGGGATCACGATGACCCGCCCGAACCGACCTGGGGAAAAATAATAATAAAAGAACGCGGTTGAGCGACGGCAGTACTCAGCAAACTAAATAAATTGCGTGGTACACAAAGATTGAAAAGAGAGTGGTTGAACAGTTTGTTATCACGATCACTGTGATTCGTGTGTGGGATTGCAAGCAGCTCCCTGCCAATTGCACCTCTCCACCTAACGGTTAGAGAAAATAAATATTACTATTTCTGGAATGCATGTTGCTACCACTAAACGGCGGGGAAACGCAAAGTGATTATGAATGGTGGGAAAGGCGTGTTTCGGACCCGACAATAGAATGGCAGGCAGCCTGGCACACTTCGCAAAAGAAGGGCCTTAAACGCCCGTCGGTCTGATCACAGCCCTCGAGCCGGGGCGGGCCCCCCAGCGGTAAATGTTTATTGACTGTCGTAGCCGGGCCGGCTCAAGCACTACTTGTGCGCGAGGGACTAAATTGGCCATAGGCGGTAAAGAGTGGTTAAGGCACCTGACTGGGGGGACTACTCCTAGTAGAAGAGGGTCATAACGCAGCCGACGCGTCGAAGCGCACCTGCACGAGGAGGACTACATCACTTGGAAGAATTTGCCTTTTGACAGACTCAAGTCCCGTTTGAGGCAAACCTAAAATATACGAAGTATGTACACAAATCTAAGATCAGTCAGTACATTCAAGAAAAAGAAAAGAAAACCGACAATAACGGGACTCGAGTCAGAGATTATCCAGAAAGTTCGCCCGTCATTAGCCGTCAGGGAACTGGCAATGCGGCAATGCAGGGTCTCAGCGCCTGGGAGGTAGGCAACATCGTGCATTCAGTGCACGCGTGTATTGCGGTGTGGCCTACCCTGAGTCTCGCAGGCGCTAAGCCCCCGTATTTTTTCCGAATACACTGATAAACTAAGTGTTCAACTGCTCAACACTTGTAACTGTACTGCAAGTTAAATACTTGCAAGTGTGCAACTGCAAGTTTAATACTTGCAAGTGATCAACTTGGTAGGAGATCACTTGCAAGAGTGCAACTCCTCGCTTTAGCACTTCCTACATACACATTGACCGTTAAATCTAAGGAAGTGTTCAACCGAGGAGTTGGACACTTGCAAGTGAACACCTACCGAGTTGCACTTGCAAATGTACGACTGAGGAGTTGAACACTTGCAAGTATTTAACTTGCAGTTGCACTTAGAAGTGTTGAGCAGTTGAACATTTAGTTTATCGGTGTAAATCTGAGAAAAACGGATCCACTTTCTAGACGATCCCTTATCCTTCACGCATATAAGTTGTGTTGGGATAGAGACTAGTGTGGGCATGGGCACAAGAACATTCACTGACCTGGCCGTGTTATTCTGCCGACGTTGAAGCGGGAGCTGTAGTTGGTCTTGAAGTACGTCTCGACGATCTCCCTCTCGTGCTTGGCCTCTCCGTTGATGGGACAGAAGAGGTACTCGGGGTCCATCTCGTACCGCATGCGCTGGTAGCCGGTCATACATAGCGCCGTCAGCAGCACGGGCACGATCAAGAAGTAGCCGGGGTGCCGCCCCACGAACAGCCCCACGCGGAAGAAGTTCCGCGTCAGCCACTCGTCCACCCAGCTCACCCCGCACCCCATTGGTATCTGTGGGAGGAAAAAACAAAAGAACGCTTTTAGCCTCACAGCTTTACAATTAATGAACAAGAAAAACAAAACAAAAGTGAGCACCCAACAAAGTAAGGAAAGTAAAACTAAAACGGAAAAATACAACATTGAAGAGTTCCAATGAAATTGAAGACACTGTAAAAAGCTTACGAACTAAATAGTTTGCAACGTTACGAACAATTTTCGTTCTTTGTATTGCAAAGAAATTGTTCGTATTGC